GACATTGTGGTGGTGGATAAAGAACAGAGGAAAGCCGTTGTGGTGGATGTAGCAATACCAAGTGACTACATCAGGAAAAAGGAGCATGAGAAACTGGAGAAATACCAGGGCCTCAGAGAGGAACTGGAGAAATACCAGGGCCTCAGAGAGGAACTGGAGAAGGCCTGGAAGGTGAAGACCACAGTGGTGCCTGTGGTCATCGGGGCCCTCGGGGCCCTCGGGGCAGTCAGCCCCAAACTGGAGCAGTGGCTCAAACAGATCCCAGGAACAACATCAGACATCTCAGTCCAGAAATGTGCAGTTCTAGGCACAGCCAAGATACTGGAGGAGAAACCTCAAGCTCCCAGGCCTCTGGTAGAGGACCCGAGCTCAGAGGATGAAAGAGAGACCACCCACGGAAGGTGAGAAAACTATTAATCAACTTTGAGAGAATTTAAAATAGACTATGTGGAGAGTCCTACAGTAGTAATTTCTCCTTGTTGGATGACCCAGTTAGGAGACATCACATTCATCTTCATTTTCTACTGAAGATATCACTACCAAAAATCCGTCACTGGAATAAAACTCAGAGGTGATCAGATAAGAACTGACCCCCACTACAAAAGTAAGACCTGAGACTTACTTTGGAGTCAACCTCCAACTGAAACACGAGATCTCTGAACCTTTTTCTTCTAACCTGCTGGCCAGGAAGAAGATTTGTCTCAAAACCTTCAAAGTGTTCATTGGAGAATTTCTAGAAATTGTTTTGCGTACCCCACGATTCTGCATTCCCATAGAGATATGCAAGTCTCTTGACACATCTACCTGCAGAGGCCTGCTGTGGCAATCTCTCCATTCCTTGATGAGAAGGTTCCTTGGTATTTTCCAAACCAAAGTACCAGAGGTTCTGCTGAGAAAGTCCATATGGGATGCCAGCCCTCACATCTGCCTGAATAGAATGAGTTTTTTTTTGTTGTTCATCAATTTTTGGAGTTTTGGACATTCGTTTTACCCGACTGACAATTGACTCAAAGTGAGCCCGTTCCATTTTTTTAAACTAAGACTATTGTAAATTGCTTTTCTGTTGCATTCTTGCTTAATGTTTCACTGATTATATTTGTGGTGATCCTGGGTGCTCAGGTTGTTTTGCTGCTGCTTCTCGCTCCTTCCACCAGGGACCGCCTGGTGGATGATCTCTGGTGGGCGTGACCGGCGACCCTGGGATCCTCACACCTGTCGGTGATTGTCTCATCTCCGCAGAGGCTTAAGAGTGGAGTCAGCCAACACATCGATGCCAGAGTGTTAACCAGTAATGGTACTGCAGGCCATCATATAGCGTTTGTTGACTCCTTGTGAACCTCCCAGTGACTCCTGTTGTGTTTCTTCGTTTTTCAGACAACTCTCTCGTGACGTCGTGGTCCGACCACTCGAGGCTTTTGAGCTCCTGGCTGTACCTGGCGTACTTACCCCTCGTTGGCTGCCTTCCTCGTTCTGCCCCAGTGAGCTGAGGTCCGTATCTGTCCGCCCTCCAACGCCGTCCGCTGGATCTTCCCAAGACACTAGCTGGTTCCGCAGCAGAACCCCCACACCCGAAAACACCCCGGGAAATCCCAGTCCACCCCCGCTTACCTGCCGCCTGACCTCTTCTCCATTTCTCCCTTGTGTTTTCTTATTCTCTTCTTTCTTTGATATCCAGTTCATATCTATTTTGCAGTTGTACAGGGCTTGAACCCAGATTTCTTTTGAAGATTAGCCTGAGCACATGGTTGAATTTTACAACTTTTTTTCAAAGTGGTGGGCCAGTCTGAGTTTGTACAGTGACCTAACTTCCTGCCCTTTTGGTTTGACCTTCCTCCTCCTTTGGCAGAGGAAGGAGGATACGCTGTTCTACAACATTGTTGTACTGCATTTGTGGTTCTGCAAATCTGATTTTTCCCTTTGAAATTAGTTAGTTTTGAAGTTATTTTTCAATATTCCATTTTTTAATATTCCATTTCATTTTGTCAGTTTGTTCATTAATCTGATTTGATTCTGATTTTATTCAAAATACATATTAATTTTTGTCTTTTTATTAGTAGCTAGATTGCATGCCAGTAGTTAAATAAATATGTTATTCACAGAATATTTCAACTGTAAAGTTGGGCTATTTTATTAATAAATTCTCAGACTTGATCAGACATCAGTGTGTCAATGATCATTCCTTGTTGTGTGAAGAGTTGCTTCTGCCGGTGGCCTGAATTAATTCCTTCAGGAGAGACTGAGTTTAGCTTATGACTCCAGAGTTGCTGAAATTGGTGCCCTGATTAAACAAAAAAAATGTAATTTTTTATTAATAATTTGATCAATAATAAATTATTGATTGCAATTATTAATAATTACATGAGACAAACACTGATGCAAGTTCTGATTCCCAACAATTTTGATGCCACCTTATGACACTGGTATAACAGTTTGGTTTCCAGAATTCTGATTCCCAACATCTTCATGGTCTCACCTTGTACCACCAGGCGTCCCAGTGCTGTGCGTCTCATTCTGGTACCAGGCCGATTGGCAGCACACACATAAACACCGGAGTGCTGCAGGGTGACATCTGAGATCATCAGGTTGCCTGTCCCGACGACCTGTATACCCTCCACTCCAATAGAACGTCCATCTGACGGATACATACACACAGAGCGCAAGAAATGCTTTGTGAAACTACATTAAAAAAAATAAGTGTTACTTAGCAGAATTCCTTCTTATGAATTCTGCCTGAGAAATCCCAAGGTACCTAGCCTGCTCCAAGAAACAATGGGCCGAGGGTTCCCTGTGGCAATGCACTCCAAAATGGCAGTCTGATGGACAGTGATGGTAAGATTCTGGGGCCCAGACAGGATGACTGGCTCCTTATAGATTCTAGGAGCTCCACCTTATTTGATTAGTTAGCACAATAAACAAACATATATAAGTTAAGATAAAACACTGACACACAGTTGTATACTATGTAGTGTATATGAATCAGCTGGCAGTATTGCAGTTATAGAACTGATAAGTTATCAATGGATTGTGACTGATGTACTCCAGTTGGGTTGTAATCCAGAATGTCAAACAAGTTTTATGTTCTAAATTGGATAAGTTTCCTGGTCAAAAGTTTCAAGAAAGAAATCATTCACAAAACCTTAAAACATCCAATATAAAATCGGAACCCCTGGCTTTCCTGATCTGCAAATGAGTAAAACATTATCAGTAGATATGTCAGAAAGAAAATAAGAGTAAATAGAAAAAATAAGTGCTTTTTCTTCAAGTTAATAACTCATCTGCATAATTATTGTCTGAACATCAAGGTAAGAACCAACAGGCATACTTTCACAAGCATTATTGCATTATTCCTTTCACCATGACGCCATGATCCACTCTCTCTCTCTCTCTCTCTGTCTGTCTGTCTGTCTGTCTGTCTGTCTACCAACCAACCACAAGTGTTGTGTACGTACCTGTAACATTGAGTGTGGCGTCATGACTGTAACGAGTGTTTGCAATATTGGTGGCCACACAGCGAAAAATTCCTGTGTCTGCCTTCCTTACACCTGTTACTTGTAAGATACCCATTGGTAGAAGAGTGTACCTGGACAGGAAGCCAAAAGATATAACAAACTGTTAATATCTCTACCTCCCATTCAGAAATGTGAAAATAAAACTCTTGTGAGTTAATCCTGTTATTTTTAAAAGCATTTGATGATAATGTGCCTATTCACATGTGAATCAAATCAGATATACAGTTGAAATCAGACATTTACATACACTCAATAAAAAGACACATACAAATTTTTTTCTCAATGTATGATGACACCCTGCTGTTGCATTACGGCTGGTTAACTGTTCTTCATTTAAGGTCTTTGATATAGGAGGCACTTATTCTCATGTGTCCACCTCACCGTAAGCATTTTCCAACATTTAGCAGATAGAATCAGGTGTTTCCCCCCACAGGCTTTAAAAACAGCAGTTATCAAACCACTGATAAAAAAAGAGCAATCTGGACAAATCACTACTGCAGAATTAGTTCACTTAACATAAGTTTATTTGTTTGGATATCATGGTATATACGGCTGTTTAGTATAGGGGTGCTCAAGTCCAGTCCTCGAGAGTTACCATCCTGTAACTTTCAGATGCTTCCCTGCTCCAACACCCCTGAATCAAATGAATGGATTGTTAGCAGGTCTGTTCAGCGCTGATCACAGTCTGTTGGAGTAAGGATGTATCTAAAAGTTGCAGGACAGTTGCTCTTGAGGATGGTAGCTGACTAGAGAATTCAGGTTTTTTGAAAGCAAAAGCGATTAAATGTTATCTGGCAAGTAGAAAGTTGAATTTGAAAGTGGTTTTGGCATAATCTGGGTTGTGAGTGGATCAAGATGGCTAGCTGTAGTGGGGGACTTTCAAAAGATGAAAATATGGACATAGGATGGTTTATGGTAGAAAATAGAAGAGGAGGAGGAGGGAAAGATAAGGTTAAAAAGGGACTAAATGCTGGTAGAAGATCTCTTGAGGATGAGGAAGAAAGAGTTGAAATAAGAAAGAAAATAATGTAAGAAATAATGTAAGATTTCAAAGTTATATTAAATTTAAGGTAGGACAGGATATGATTGGAGTAAGATCTATCAGTTTGTCAAAAGGATTAAAGAAAGCTATTGGAGATGTAGAACTAGCTAAAGTCTTAAGGGATGGAAGTCTACTTATCATTTGTAAAAATCCTGAACAAAAGAATAAGACTCTAAAATTACAAATGGTGTGTAAAAAAAAGAAGTGCTGAAAAGAAAGATTGTTGGGGAAGAAAGAGGAGTAAAAGGAGTAATATCATCATCATTACTCAGATGTTATAAATGTCAAAATTTGGAGGAGCTAAAGTAAATAATAAAAGGAGGAGAGATTACAAGCATCAAACAATTACGGTACAGGCTTTTAGGAGTGGGGAGAAAATGGACAGTACATCTGTACTACTGGATTTCAACGATAGAGTTCTGCCTGATAAGGTGATGATTGGTTACAAGAGCTTTAATTTAAGAGTTTATATTCCACCACCTCTCAGATGTTATAAATGTCAAAGATATGGATATACTGCGGATGTTTGTAAAGAGAAACAGAGACATGGTAGATGTGGAGGTGAACATCCCTATGGTGAGTGTGGAAATAATCCTGTTTAATGTTGTAACTATGGAGGAAGTCATACTGCAGCATACACAGGATGCATGGTAAGAAAAGAGGCAGCTGAAATTCAAAAAGTTAAAACTGATAAGAGAATTCATCTGCTGAAGCAGTGAAAGAGCTGAAAAATATTGAAAATGCTCCAAAAACAACTCATGGAAGGAAAAAAGTGGCAGACAATAATCAATGTAATATTACATTACATTAGAAAAATGTATTCTTTTTCTTGCACATATCATAAAAATAAAAATCATTGTAAAGGTAGCTGCAAAGGTTTTCAATGTCAAAGATTTATCTTCTTGGGGAAAAAAAATCTGTGATGAACTTAAGACTTGGAAAAGGATCATCTGAAGCTGAGGCTTCTCAAATTATTACATAATTCTAATATTACAACGGAACGCCCGTAGTCTAATAGCAAATGGTCAGGGATTTAAAGGCTTCATTAATAATCTAAATATAAAACCAGACATAATATGCATTCAAGAAACATGGCTTAAGCCATCATTGCAGTTTATTGTTCATGGTTACTCAGTCTTATGTAAAGACAGGATAAAAGGGAATGGGGCTGTTTGTGGCATATTGTAAAAGGAAAACCTTTTACACCTCCATATATCAGATTTAGAACTTATTGCTGTAGAAATTTGGACAAATGATGGAAATATTAAAATAATAAATTATTATAATCCTTGTTAAAACTTGACTCAATCTTAGAACACTGTAGAGGGAAAATAGTTTGGTGTGGGAACTTCAGTGCATATAGAACTTTATGGGGAGATCAAGATAATTATAATGGAGGAATTTTAGAAGAGGTGATTGAAGAAAAATAATTGGTAATTTTAAATAACGGAGTAGGTACTCGGGTGGACTTTGTGAGGGGTAAGGAATCTGCTATTGATCTGCCCTTGGTTTCTCAATCTCTTGCTGATATTTGTAGCTGGAGAGTATTTGAAGAAAGCACAATGGGGAGTTATCATTATCCAATTTTTGCCAGCATAGGAATAGATACTGAAGAAGACCAGGTAGAAATTGAGGGGAGATGGAAATTTGGGAAAGCAAACTGTGACAATTTTTAAATGATGAGTGAGGTTAACCTAAAAAATATAGATACAAGTAAACCGATAAATGAGTTAAATTTAGAAATTAGTAAATGTATTATTGATGCAGCCAAAAGATTCATTCCTAGAAGTTAGTGGTATTAAAAAAAGAAGATGGTTCCTTGGTGGACACCAGAATGTTCAACAGCAATTAAACAGTGGAATAAGGCTTTTAAAATACTTAAGAAAATTATTTGTTTCCAGAATCTAATATATTATAAAAGGAGATAGGCAGAAGTTGGGAAAACTATAAGAAATGCTTAAAGGGATTATTGGAGAAAATATTGTGATTCTTTGGGGAAAAATACTGCATTAGACAGGGTGTGGAAATATTTGATTGTGTATTATATAATCACTTCCAATATCACTTACTGATATTGGTAATTATGACTCACCTGAAATGATAAAAAATGACAGACTGTGGAAGAACCACAGTTTCCCAGTTCTAAAGTCCCTACACTGGCTCCCTGTAGCTCAGAGAATAGACTTTAAAATACTGTTGTTAGCATATAAATCACTGAGTGGCTCAGCACCACAATACATTAAAGATCTGCTGCTGTTGTATCAACCTTCCAGACCTTTCAGGTCTTCTTGTTCTGGTTCTGCTCTGCATCCCCAGAACCAGAACCAAACATGGAGGATCTTCTGTTTCTACAAATCTGGAACTGGGAAGCAGAAAACTGCAAAACAGCCGAAACACTGAGTGCCTTTAAATCTAGATTAAAAACCCATCTGTTTAAAGTTACTTTTGAAATATAATCAATGAAACATTAATCATCATTCTGATGTATAACAATGGCACTTGACAAAATGCAGTGTCTCCATTGTTGACTGTATATTCTGTGACTTTCTATTTATGTGTTTTATGGTGGGAAGCATCTTGAGTTGCCTTGTTGCTGAAATGTGATCTTCAAATAAACTTGAAATTTGATAGAAATATTAGTAATTATGACTCACCTGAAATGATAATAAAAAAAGCATTTTTATTTGCTGTAAGTAAATGCATTTGTTTTCAACTGTATATATAGTTTTTCAATTGATTTTTTTAACCTTTTGAAATAAATATAAAAGTAGCAAGATCATTTGCTTTTAAGTAATAAGTTAATGGAACTCATTACTTATTTCATTTTTTTTTCTGAAGGTACAAGACAATGTCCTATAGACCTGTCCTGTAGAAGATTTAATGCAAATGGCTGCATACTTCTGGTTGATTTTACCTGCTGTCAGAAGTGTTCAGTGGTCCTTTATCTTTTTCCCATGTTATGGTAGCCTCAGGAATACCATTTATTTGACACTGGAAGCGAGCAACTCCTCCCTCATTCACAGACATGGATACTGGATGAGTGTGGAACTTTGGAAGAGCTGCGTAAATAAATACAGAAATAATAAAATAAACTGGCTTGCAATAAGTTTCTGCTTCCCAATCAGCAGTTGTTTAACATTGTTGGTAATCCTTCAACAACTGATTAACTGACAAGGTTACAGACAATTTCATTTATTTATTTGAGCTAGCATATATACATTTTGTGTGCAAATTTATGACTGTGATTCCTAGACTTTCTTACACTTACACAAATGTACCTGCTCAAATGCAAGCAAAGTTTCTAATATCATGGCCAGAATCAATATATGCTTATTATAGAGAAGGTATCTGTTAATAAAACATCATCATGGCAAAGCACTTTATGAAAATAAGATCACAACTGTGTTTCTTCTTGATGAACAGGAAAGCTGAGTCAAGCAAAAATGTAATCGGAAAATAAATTTTGACACTTTATTCACATTTTATTTCCTAAAGAGCAATGCAAGTTATCACTTTAAAAATAATGTTCTGGAGTTGGTTTAAAACAAGAGATCAACAAAGCTTGTTAATTTCCAAGTTTCCAGTCTAAACAATCCATGGTGGTGCTGTGCTACAGATACTGATTTCCACTTTTTCTCCAGTAAGTTAATCAACCAGTATTTCAAACTACATTACAGTCTGCCAACATTAAAACATATCAAATCTCACTGTATTTTAAAAAAGTTACACTTTGGCTAAACAGATACAACATTTAATCAAACTCCCTACATAAAAATGTTAATTTCTTCTCATTTGATGGTTACACAGAAACACAATATTTATATACTCTGATTTGGATTTGATATACATTTAGTTTAGTGTTGTATGTAAATATTTGAATCGCATGTTCCAGATGGCAGATTTAAATATCTGCCATATTTAAATATATGCCATATTTAAATATGGCAGATATTAATATTAATTATTAATTAATAATAAGTAATTAATATTAATTATTATTAATTATCAATTAATAATTAATATTAATAATTAATTGATATTAGTTATTAAATAATAATTAATTATTTATTTATTAATAATAATTAATTGATTATTATTAATCATAATTAATTATCATTAATTAATTATCATTAATTAATGTATTAATTGATGATACATTAATTAATACATTAATGTATTAGTGATACATTAATGTATTAATGATACATTAATACATTAATGATACATTAATGCATTAATGATACATTAATACATTAATGTATTAATGTATTAATGTATCATTAGTGTATTAATGATACATTAATACATTAATGTATCATTAACGTATTAATGATACATTAATGATACTTTTAATGTATCATTAAAAGTAGAACCATTTTGCTAAAGGCAGTTTCTTGAGCATCAAGCAACTAGTCAAAAACAGCAAATGAAGTTCACCAAAACTGGAAGCTGCCTTTTAGGGCCTTTATTAAGCTGGGTTGTAAAATCCCCTTAAGACTAATGCATACATTGTGATGTTACCACATATGTTCCTTGGTGCCTGTTCTAGTTGAACAGACCAATAGAAATATGTAATATCAAATTGCATTGACATATTTCGTATGTACTTATGGGTAGAAATGTGAGTAGTACTGAATGAAATATAAAAGCCAGTACAAAAAATGTACACTAAGTTTCTTCAACATCTGCCGGACTTTGCTCAGGATGTTTTATGAATCTGTGGTTGCCAGTGCCATCCTGTATGCTGTGGTGTGCTGGGGCAGCAGACTGAAGGTGAAGGACAACAACAGAACAAATAGACTGATCCACAAGGCCAGTGACATCGTTGGAGTGGAGCTGGACTCTCTGACAGTGGTGTCAGAGACAAGGATCCTGTTCAAGACTCAGCTTGTCTTGGACAACGAGTCTCATCCACTTCATGACGTGTCCCCGGCTACAGGAGCATCTTCAGTCAGAAACTTATTATACCACAGAGCACCACAGGAAATCATTTCTGCCTGTAGCCATTAGATCAGGGGTCACCAACCTTTTTGAGACTGGGAGCTACTTCATGGGTACAAAGTAACACAAAGGGCTTCTTGTTTGATACAGATATACATTTTCTTGGCTGAACCTTTATAACAATAATACATTTATAATGATAATACATCTAAATGTATTATTGTTATAATGATTGCATGCTGCCTGATCACAACAGTTATTAGTCATGATTTGCCATGGCAGATATGGTTAATCATTATTATGTGATTAGGAGATCTTAGTTCACAGAATTTTAAGTTTGATTTGCTGCGCAGGTGACTACCCAGGCCTGAGTAACTTGAATCTAATTTTATCTGCACTCATTTATAGATTATTTTTAGATGAACATATTTGCATGTGCATGCTTGTTATTTATTTCTTTATTTATACTCAGTCATATTGAATTACCTAAATCACTCTTAGGCATATATGTATTTTATATACTGTATCTCTTATGGTTATATTTGTATTATTAATATTTAACAAATTAGATGGAGTAGCTTGTCAGCTAATAAGCAATTTCCCTGTGGGGTTCGCCCCAAAGGGAAAATGTATATTCTATAGTATAGTATAAAATAGTATATTCTATTCTGTTCAACAAAATGACCAGCAGCCATTAAATTCTATTGATTTTAGACCTATTTCTAATTTTATTAATGTTTTAATAAGAAACTATGATAATTGAAATTAGCTCTTGAAATCTGTGATTGTTTTACTGACAATTTTAAACGTTCATTGTGCAATCACATACATTGCCTGTCCATCACAGAACAACAAACAACCATGCACACACACACACACACACATACACACACACACAAACACACACACACACCCACGGACGCACCCACACACACACACACACACATATCTATGAAGAATTTGGTGATTTAGAGAGATCAATTAACCTAACAATCAGGCTTTGGAGTACCAGGAGAGTACCCACAAATGCTTGTAAAAACAATCTCAGGCCAGGATTCAAAGCCAGGACTTTCTTGCTGCAAGTCAGCAGTACCATCAACTGTGCCAACTCTGCAGTCCCAACTTAATTAAGACAAACCCTGGTCATTACAGATCTATACAATTTTAAGAGCTGACAAGATAAACAAGTACACAGTAAATGTAGCCAGTTTACAAAAATATGGTTTTAATACATTTAAAATAATTCAGACTTTTTTATTTTTGTTCTAGAGAGATAGTTGAATACTTACACGCCAAATGAACTTTGGCCTTGCGGCTCACCAGCAAGCCATAACGATTCTGTGCAGCACAGTCATACTCGCCCATGTCTGCATCAATCCCTTCTCTGCGTTTCTGGAATCTTTGAATTAACAGTGTTCCTTTTTCCAGTACCTGGACTCGTGGGCTGAAGGGTAAGGGCATCCCATTTTTACGCCATGTGATTGTAATCGGTCGCTCGCCCTGCACCTGGCAATCCAGCATGAGTGGTTGATCCCTTACTGCGATCACATCGCTGGGTTCCAAAATGAAAGACAGTTCGGATGCCAAGCAACAACCTGCAGACAAAAAGACAGGCAATAGGTAACATATATTTCATTTATCTGTTAAAAAATGTTTCCTTATTTATTCAGTTAAGCATAGTTAAACACTAATTTATACAATAGCCTCTGAAATCCCCAAAATGGGCAAAATGATGTATTATTTAAAAATGGTCAATGAACAACTAACTAGCTTGGTGACTGATAGATGTTTGGGCTGACTTAGAATGTATGCACAGAAGAAAACCTGCCATAAATAAGGATTAAGGTGAATGTTGGTAAATCTAACTTAGTTTTCAGTGGCAAGCAAGCCAAGCATCCGGTGAGGACAATATTAACATCATGTTCAGCCTCCAGAAGAGAAAAAAACGACTGAAAGTGTTGCCAGGTTAAGATCATAGATCCTCTATTGAAGCAGGGGCTACTGATGACAATAGCACTGTGACTGTGAATATTTGCACCCAACCCCCAGTAATCTTAGTTAAAAGTTCCCATCATCCACCATACACCCAGGGGCACCATCTGCCCTTTCTTTATAATTCCAGTCAACCCCTCCCGACTCTTCTCGTCCTTTCAGATCCATCTCTGAGGTGACTTTCCCATGCTACCAAATCTCTCATCCTCACCCTTGTCCTCTTTTCTCCATGACCATGGTGACACCCCCAGTCTTTTTTGGTGTTAATGTCCTCAAATGCAAAGAACCCCGAAGCTTAACAAAGATTCTCAGTTTCCCAGCTGTGAAGCACTAACAATCATCCTTGAACGTGAACTAGTGAGGGACATTCTCAATGTCACTGTGGAGGTTTGAATTGTGCTCGTCTAAAATACTTTGCAGTTTCTGGTTGTTTAGTTGTCATCAGGTATCTGGATCCTTGCTAATGCTTGGATTGTGGGGGCACTGTTCATATTGATCATGTTAATGTTCATTGTTAATGTAGTAAATAATGTATTATATATCAGTATAACATGAAAATATCACTGAGTACGAGTTTCGGTAATTTTCATAATGACATCAATCCATTTACTTTAACTAAATTCTGCCTAATACATATACATACTTCACACAGAAAAGTTTTTGCACTGCAACGGGCTAGGTGGGGATATGAAAAGTAGCCCTGAAAAAAAAATACAGTTGTGTCCAAAATTTCTAATAAATTAATTCTATTCTGATAGAAAATAAGACAGGCATCTCTAACAATATGATTAAACACTGTAAAATGATCATCAATGCTAATTTTTTATTTTTTTTTCCCTTTGGAAAATAAAAAAAGGAAGCTAAATATTAGGGTTATGGCAAGGAGGGCTTTAACTTCAAGGAATTGTAATTCATTGTCAAAAATCAATCATGTATCTTGACTTTCTTCTGACTTTTAGTCAGCAAAAACACCAGAGGAATGAATTTGTACCAAGTTTTGAGCAGGGTTTTGTTTATCAAGCAGTTCATTTGAATAAAAATGAGAATTTGTTAAAAATAGTAGTGCAATACAATACAGTACAATATTTTCTCTTTTGAGTGTCAACCTCAACAGTTTCTCCTTTTTCCTGTCATCCTTTAGGGACACTTGCATGTAAACATTCTGATGTTCTAAGTTTTTTCCTTCTAAGATTTATATACATATGACAGTGATCAAATGTAATCACAGTCACGGATTTGCTTCACAGCCCATTTTGTAGCAAGTCTTCCCCCTCTCACAACCCACCTTCCTGTAAGATAACTATCAATAAAAGCCATGAGTAGAAAGACCTTTTTTAACGAAGAAAAAGACCAAAAACTGATTAATTTTAATTGATCTTCATTTTGCTTTATTTTTAAAGAATGCTGATTTCTCAGGTACTTTCCTGCTTGTAAATAAAGGCTTGATAGTTAAAAAAAATCCAGTCATTAAGTAAGCATCTGCCTTTAATGAGCAGCCTCCCACTCTGCTGATACTGTTTGACCTGGTCACTCTGGGGAAGCAGAGTCCCAGCCCTCATCCCTAGGAATAATTTCAGGTCTCTAAGAGCAGATGGGGGTAGGGGATCAGTTATAGTCAGAATTCGTTTTTTATTGCTGTTCGAAAATGTTTCCCATTGCTAGTATTAGGCTGGGTCTCAGAAAGCACTACATTCTGAATAAGTCACATAAAGGAAGCCATAACATGTTTTTTTCTTCAGGTTTACAGTTTTTACCACAGGAATTTGTCAGATTACATATTTTGATTGATATCTGCGTTTTTCACATACAGTACAGTTCCTGACTAATCCAAACACTTTAAATATACAAGATTTATTGTAAAACTTCAGGAGAACTGTCTTTGTTATCTTCCTGCCACCAACCCCTTACTCCCTGCCCCCACCACCTTTGTCACTGGTATGAATAAAAGTATGTCTAAAGTGCATTAAAATTGGGGCTGGAGATGTTGGTTCAGAAAACACACTCCTTGCTGACAGCAGAGTCTTCCCCAACTCAGTCCCAAATTGATTGAAATTAAAATGCAGAATGCCCCCCCGCCTCCCCAAGTAAAACCAGATACTTCCCTCATGCTAGCCAGGTTCATTGTTCCCAAGAACCTACCGTTGTGCAGTGTTGCATATGAAGGGTAGGAGAGGATGGGCACCAAGGCAGTAGAGAGTAGGGTCTACAAGAAAGTACAGAGCAGCCTGTGCTTCTTGAGGAAGCTAAGCTCATTCAAGGTTAGCAGCAGGATCCTGCAGATCTTCTATAAGTCTGTTGGTCAGAATGACATCTCTTGAGTCGTCATCTGT